ATATCTACATTGCTATATGTCTCTAACTCTGCTTCCCTCCCCCCTCCCCAAACCCCAACAGACTTACCAACTGAAGACAACTGTGTCAGCTGCCTGTTTAGTCTATGACCGAATCTCCGAAGTGGCACCAAATCTTTTGGATCTGATTCGGCCAAATTGAATCGGGAAAGTGATTCAAATCTCCGAATCAAATCACTGTCCTCCAAATTGGCCGAATCCAAATCCAAAGTGAATACTTGCTGCTTCGCACAGGCCTAGTGGATGGGGTGTGAACTGGGAATCAGGGATAACTTTCTCAGCCATGGGGCTCCTGCTGTGAACAGTGCTACAGCAGCAGCTTTCACTCTGCAGAGAGCAGCAGAAGGTAAGACTTCACTCCCCCCCTCTTCCACTCAGCCCCAGCCCCGCCCCCACCCCAAGCCCTCTGGTGATTGGCATATGCCATTCCCTTCTCTCCTCCCCCTCCCAGTCCTAGAGGAGTTCATTATGCTGCAGTAGAACAGGGATGGCCAACCTCTCCACAAGTGGCATAGATAGCTCTGTTTGTGACGTGGCAGACAGGGGAGGGGACAGGCAGCACCGCTGCAGATAGAGCATAAAGCACAGTATGAGATCATACAGGAATACAGGGCAGGAAGCGGAAAGCAGAGTAGCAGAGGGCATGGGGTAATTTGTGGCACGCCTGCCAAAAAAGTTGGTTCCTACTTCAATAGAATATATGATTTCCCTGTCTAAGATTGCTGCTATGCCCATTGGAATCACTGTCAGCTTTGAAAATTATTTTAGTTGGATCAGTACTGGGCCCTCACTGACAAAATGTTAAGGTTTTTAAGGCACCCACTATATTCCATTTGTATTCTGTTCCAGCCATTGTATTACTGAAGTGGCATCACTTGGTGAAACAGCCTCATTACATTAGTCCTCTCAGGTCTAGTTTTCTATCAAACACATTTTTTCCAATTTTATTTTTTATTCTCTCTGCAGATATGATAAAAACCTAGTGTTTGCTCAGCGCTGGGGAATTAGAAAAGGGATAATAATGGGATTCTTCACTGGTTACA